GGAGTTAAAAGTGATATTTACTTTCAAAAATTATCTTAAGAAACTTAGAATTACTACTTGAAGACGACCGGTTATGAATCTAGATCAAAATCAAACCTTGAGGCACAAAATTGCATACATATAGCAATTTTAAAATTTTTTAGTTGATTGAAGAGTGAAATTAAAAATAAAATAAAATAAAATAAAAACTTCTAAAATATTTTTTAGGTATTTATATTGAGTGATCTGAGTTTGTATTGACTTTACTAAGCCTTTGGTAAGTTAAGGTTTTTTTGGAAGTGACTTTGAATGTTAAAAAATACAAAGGGTTCATATTTTATATAATTTTACATAATTGTGTGAGATTGGTAGATGATCTACTAGTAAAAATTTGTGATTGTGTGATAAGTGTTGTTTTAAACTTGTATTATAAGTTTAAGCTTGACCTGATGATTTATTGGAAGTTTATCAAAGTTAAAATATACTAGGAGCTTAAGAATTAGAATTTAGAAGACTAGTAAGGATTTCTAAGATATTCAACAATGTACCAATTGGATTAATTTATTTTTAAAAAAATTAATAATTTAATTAATTTTTTAAAAATTTAATAATTTTGAAAGAAATTAAACAATTAAATTAAAAGATATTAGTGGTGGGAGTTTGACATCAAGATTAGAAAAAGAGACTAGCCAATATCTGAGCAGATTTTAGGATTTATCTTTTATTTGGTATATTTAATCTTTTTTAAATTGGTTGTATATATTATCAAATTATTAATTAAGAGGTGTGTAAATTTTGAGTTGAATTAATAGTTAAATTATTAATTATTAAAGTTTCAATCTATTGTAGGATTAATTAAGATTTAAGATTTGATTAGAATTTGAATTAATATTTAGGATTTTATTAGAATTTAGCTTAAGATTTTATATTTGAGATTTGATTAAAATTAATTTAAGATTTTATTGGGATTTTTTTAGGATTACATTAGAATTTTATTATGACTCAATAGATATGATATTTTCACTATTTTTTGAAGATTTTTTTTGATATTTTTGATATTTTTTATTATATTATTTCTTTAGGATTTTTTCGTATATATTTTTAAAATTTTAATTTATGATTTTTTTATGATTTATTTGTGATTTTTTAAATATTTTTTTAAAGTTCAATTAAAATATGATTAATAATATTAAGATTTAATTAGAATTTTGTTAAGATTCTATTAGAATTATTAGGACTTTATTATTATAATTTCTATTTCATCTTCTATAGTCAAGTATCCAATGCAATCTTAAGCAAACTTTAAAGAATACAATATGATTAATAAAGTATGGTTATTTTGTTGTAATATAAAGATTAGTTGCCCTTGTGATAAGTTGAATTATTGTAGACTTGAACTATTTCTTATTTGTGAAAAAATCAATCTAATTGCTTTTTGATTACACATATTGAAATTTATGAAGATCCACCTTGTGTTTTACTTTTTTTTTTTTTTTTTTTTTTTTTTTTGAGTCATACAAGATAGTGGATGTACTAAGAAGAAGGCAATATCACCTCCTCTTGTAGAAGAAGATAATAATCAAGAATTTAAGATTGATAAAGTCTTAGATTTAAGGTATCATTAATATAAGTTGAAATATCTTATACATTGGCACATATGTCATATTAATAAATGCACTTAGAAGCCAATAAAAAATCTTGTAAATGCAATAAGAAAGATTAATGTATTTTGTTGACAACATCTAGCAAAATTAAGATGAAGACTGAAACAATTATTGCTATAAAAGAAACAAAGTTTAGTGAAGAATATATTCTATCATCTATCTTTATTTATAGTTTTAGTACATTTATAGAAATAAGAAGATAAAAAATCAATACCTAGCATATTCAATTCATGAATTATTTTTTGTTGAGTTATCGAACAATGCATTAAGATTGTCACAACCTTTAAGAAGAGATAATAGAAATAAAAATCTTCAAAAATGACATATTCTGCTTTGAATAGATTGTAAGATATAATATGATTGGTATCACAAGCTTAAAAGAGACTTTAATGTTTGGTAATCTTACAAGAGGTAAAAACCACCTTCAATGGTATTTCTATTGTTCTTTTTTGAAAAAAAGTTGTGAAGGCCTTAACAATGATCAAATATCAAGGTGGTTCTCTTGTCTTGATCTAAGACACTATTGATGGCAAAAAAGATCTATCAACTATCTTTAAAGGAAATAAAGATCAAAATATATGATAAATATAATTTATTATATGTTGGACTTTCTTAATATATGATGATTGCTCTTTGTAGAACTTGGTTCTAGAAAGAAAGGAAATTTTATTGATGTATAATTACTTAAATAAAAAATATTAGGTAGAAAATAAATGAGATTAGATTTTATAATATCTTATAGATAAGCTTTTTATAAGCTTCATATATGCTCATTTGACTTTATATGGCTTGGTAGTTTATTGGTTAAAAGCTTAGTTAACAAGTTGGCTACATGTTGTATATATTGACAACTTATGGTACAAGTTGGCCATGTAATACATATAAGAAAAGTCTCTAGTCTTCTTATCTTTGGTACTTTTAGACTATTTAATCAACAATTCTACTTAAAATTATTTCTTTTGATGAAGTTTGTTTAATTATGTCAACAAACATTCTTATTAGTGATGTTAAAATTTATATTTATAATGAATCTAGAAAAATTAAATTCAAAAAAATTCTTTTATTATAAATATATATATATATATATATATATATATTAAAGTAAGCCATTGTTTTACTAAAATGACCTACCTTCTTTTTTCCTAGTCCTACTTCCTTCATTTCCAACTTTCATTCCAATCTTCTTTATTCTTTGCCTCCACTTCTTCTATTTCAAACCTTCATTCCAACCTTCCTTGTTACTTGCCCTTATTCCCTTTATTTCCAATGCTCATCATGATCTCTTTTGTTTCCAATTTCAGTTGTCAATCTTGTCACTAATCCAATTATAATTTTAAGAGTCTATCTTAAATTTAAAGAAGAGGTCAAAGAGGAAGAAAAGATATGGTATAATAGAAAATGAAGATGACCTAAAAAATATATCAATTAGTCTAAATTCATCATCCAATGGCTCCACAATACTTAGTGCTTCATTTATAAACACCAACTAGGAATTCGGTTTCATCAAAAAAACATATTCTCAATCATTTGTAAATACTGATTGGTAATCTATATTTAACTTTTTAGCATATTCATATATCTTATTTTTTATGGAATAGAGACCAAATATCTACTTTTGAATACTTCATTGGCATCCTTGTATTATTTTCCAGATTCATCTTCAAGTAATATGATCCACCAATGCTCTTGTTCATCTTCATTATATATTATAGCACATCTTTTTTTCTTCTCTAATTCTTTCTTTTTTGAATTCACCACAAACTCTCAAAACTATAACAAAGTCAATGATGGGGCTAACAACTAGAATTGGGAATGGAAGAGATTAAGATGAGTATTAGGAATATGGAGCTAGGGCTGGGAATAGAAGAAGTAGGATTGAAAACAAGAAAGGTGGATTGATTTAATAAAATAATGGATTACTTTTATATTTTTGTATATATATATATATATAAAGAAAAAGTATAATTATGTATATAATAAGCACAACATGATTTTTTAATAGCATGCTATTTTGGAAATATAAAAATTTTAGAAGTAATTTCAAGATATTTTTGGTAGCCTTAAATACATAAAGAAGTAAAAACATTTGTTCAATCATGTGATATTTATTTTAAAGCAAAGACTCCATGTCATTGACTTTATGTAATTCTTCAATTCCTACCTATTTCAAAGTAGCCATGGTCATCTATTTTAATCCATCATGGATCTTTTAATTTTAAATTCTTATTACTCTATCTTTGTAATAGTAGATTATTTTACTAAAATAATATTTTTATACTATTTTCAAAAATAATTACTAGTAAAGAAATAACTAAATTCTTATTAGATAATATTTATTGATATCATAGACTTTTAAATGACATTATATTTGATTGTAGGTCTTAATTTATATCAAAATTTTAGAAGACACTTTTTAACATAATATAAGTTGATAATAAGTTATCTTCAACTTTTTATCATCAAATTAATGGAAAAATGAAATATGTGAAAAAAATATTGGAATAATATTTATAATGCACCATTAAGACAATTTGACAACTTTCTTGCCATTAGTAGAGTTTTCATATCATAATATAATATATTCTATTATTCTTTAAACTCTATTTTAAAAAAATTATGATTACCATCTACAATTTGATACTTTTGATTTTTAAAAGATAAAAATCTATAAACAAAGGATTTAGCAAATAGAATGAAGGAGCTTCAAATTTAACAATTAGCTCTCTCATTTCATCATTTTTCAAGGTTCCATATTGAAAGTAGAGGCTTCACTATTATAATAAAAATACAAATCCTCTTACCACACATATAAATTCTCTTTGCTTCATATGATACCCAGTATTTAATTAATTAATTATTATATTTATGTATATAAATTTAATTGATTTAATTTAAAATTATTCATTACTTTTATAAAGCACATGAAACTCTCTTTGTTTAATAAAAAACCTAATTTTTATAATAAGGAAGATTAGGTATAAAGACAGAGAAGCCTTGTCATTGGTAAAGATCAAATCTACAACCACTAGCAAAAAGCTTTGCATAATCTGCAAAAAGACCTCTAATTTATTACCTATAAATATCTTTTCCATGTCCAACTGCACAAATTTCTGGTAGTATTATACAAAGACATACATACATAGAAAATAAAAATAAATAAAAATTATCATTTTTGTTATTCTATATAGAAAGATAATTAAACGAATTTCCGACAAACAAGAATCGTAGAACAAGAGTAGAGCAACCAGGGAAACTTTCACAGACTGCCCGAAGGCAGGAGGAGAAGAAAAGTTTTTTCTCCGGGCTGCCCGCGCGGGGTCTACTCGCGCGGGGAGTGGGAAGGACGTTACCGCAGCAGAAGCAGCAGAACCAGCAGCAGCGTAGTAGTAGTAGCAGTGGGATTGATTGCGCAACGGTCGAAAAATCCCCCTCCCCCGCGCACTCTCTTGCGCAATTTGCGTCTCAATATCGTTGCATCCCCCTCCCGTTTTCCTCTTTCGAACGCACTGCTTCTCCATTTTCTTGTTTATTGATTTATTTGTCCCATAGCAACTTTCTGTTTGTGATCCCAACCTCCGACATTCTCCAATCCGTCGTTCTTGTAAGTCGGTGTCGTTCTCACACCACTCGATTCCTCCGCGAACTGACTGCGCATTCCTCACTATGAGATTCCGAAGCTTGGCTCGTAATGTGGGTTATCGAGTTGTTTTAGAGATTCAGCTTGCAGGTTGATTGTCGCGGCATTGGCACTTTCAGAGGATACAATTCTGGTGTGATTTTGTGCAGCGGAGTGGTTACTCTTGTTGGGTCCATGGATTAGGTTTTTGGTTGCGGGTGCCGGTGCCGGTGGTGAAAGAAAGAGGCGTTGAGGGAATTGGGGTGAACGCGTGTTGGTGACGTTGATTCTTGTAGTGGGATGTTGTCGCTGGATATTGCGTTTTGGAGATTGGGATTTTGAGATTTGTGGTGCGTGTTTTCGTGAATGAGATTCGGGGGGTGGAGTAAGCATGCCACGATGCTCAGGGGCTACGGCGTGGTGTGATCATTACGATGTTTTGCAAACATGCGCAGTCGTGCTCCTTTATATGCAGGTTCATTTTCCCTTCCTTGGATCTGCTGCTTGTGCTTTTGCCCCTTTCATGTTGGGGTTTGAGTGTCTGAGCTCTGGAGTGTGAGTGCGTCATTTCAATCCAAGCAACAATTGATGGCCATGAATGTGTAAATGTAGTAGCCTTTCAGTCCTGCGGCTGAATAGTTAAATGATTTCCATTTTTCCATGTTTTGTATATTCGGTTGAGTATTTTCTGCATGTGCCCGGATATACATATCATACGTCGGTATCCACATCCTCTATGTGTTTCCCATTGTAGTTTCTAGCATCGGGTTACGAGGACTAATTTCTCAGGGTGGATTGCAGTAGGTAGAGTCTGTCATTTAAGTCACGACGTCATTGTTTCAGCTTATACACACTCGTTTGGGGACGATGTAGGTGATTTTCTTCATCCTTTTATGCAATTGTCTCTTACCAATCATGAGTTGATACTTGTTCTGAGAGCCAGATACTTGGCTGATCTGGAAGTGACTGTGGGTGTAGGTGGGTTGTGCATTTGTCGGATCGTTGGGGGTTGTTCATACAGGAATTGTGTTGGCCAACTTGGCACTTGCATTATTCGCCTTGATTGCTATCGAAAGTGGTAGTCAAAGCCTAGGTCGGGCTTATGCTGGGTTTTTGTCTCTTTCTCTCCTCCTTGACATCGTTTGGTTCTGCTTATTCGCCAACGAAATCAGGTGTGTATCCTCGTACAAGTGTCCACGTTCGCTGCTTCTATCTCTGCACTATGCTAGTGGTCGATTTCAGATTTATGTCGTAAGTTGATTTAGCTTGTCTGTCTTGCAGATAGCATGTGACTTGACATTCAGGAAAATCTTTTGTGCTGATGGCTAATATTAATATCGTTACAGTCAGGTGGTTGGCCAGCTGTCTTTGTCATTAAGTAATCTGTTTTCCTTTAATGAACTATGCTTCGTGGTTGTGAGAAACTGCAGGGACTTCTGGAATGATACTCAGTTGGGAAAATTTGGAGCCCTCTCTGTAAAGCTAACGTTCTGGATGCAAGTTTCTGGAAGCGGACTACGCCTGATTTCCTCCTTTCTGTGGTGCCAGATGTACAGACTTGGTACAGATTCAGAGACATTGGGTCCACAGGGGCCCGTCGATTTTGGTAGAAGAACTCCAATATTCGCTTCTTTTAATCTGGATGATCCAACACTAGGGGACGACACAGAGTCTGAAGTGCTTGGAGGTTCGATTTATGACACAGCTACCTTTTCGTCTCTTTTCGAGAATTTCAGTCGTCAGGATTACCCTGACATCGAGGTGAGCATCGAACATAATGCCTTGTTACGAAATTTAAGCCATGTCGATTTATTTTCATAACAGCACTTTAGTAGAATTGCTGTCCAACTTCCCATCGGACAATTTTGCTTGTGTTTGTGTAGTATTCTGCATACTACCTAATGGGCTCAAAGTCTTTAACTACTAGATAAGGTTCACTCAATTTCATTCGGAAAATGTTATTGAGAGCTTTAGTGGGCCAATAACTTACCTCTTTGTGTGCAAATGACTACGTTGTGTTGTAGAACAACGGCCATATGTCAGAGGACGAGAGCTCACTCCAAAAACCGCTGATATATTGTGGATCCTGATTACGGGATTGATCATCTCCATTCAAATTTGTAAGAGACATTCTTTTCAGACGGGGATAAGGATAACTGCCGTGTATCAATTATAGCACATTAGATCATCTATTATGTTGACTTCGCATGTACTTTTCTTGGGATGGGCCTATTATGTTCAGCTATCCATGTTTTCAGCTGACTTGATTTTCCACAAGTGATTCACTATGAAGTGGGTTCTGGTGGTCTGTGTCGAATAGATGTAACATAGTTTTCTTCTTACAATCAAAGGGAAACTTCATAGAGGAATTGGGTGTTCTTTTCTTTCTTTTTTTATTCCCCAATTTGTGATAAAACTACTGCAATAGCAAAATGTGAACCTTTTGTCTTCACGGAAAAAGACTTCCTGAAAAATGCATGATGAAAAATGTGAGAATTGGAATCCAAATGATTTTCAAAGTTAAAAAGCTATATCCCGGTTTAGATGAAAAGAAAATTTCACACAATGATGAATGTGCACAGAGATGCTAGAATTGTTTTGCTTACATAGGGTAATGAAGGAATATGACCTCCGCTTTCCACCTCCCTCGTAAAAACCTTCAAAATATTCTCTGAGCTTTTAAATAGTATGATCTTTATTTTTTGGCCTAGCTGTAGATGTTCAATTAAGGCAATAGAAAGCTAATCTAATTCCACAAAGATCACTTAGTACCAGATTCTCAATTGGAAAATTTGTGATCAGACAGAATTTCAGACTGAAGGGAATATCTGTTGCTCATGCTCCACGCTACTTAGAAGAGTTAGGCCTCTGGCAGTTGCATGTGGCACACTCAAGGCGATAATCCTTCGCATAACATTTTCAACGTCTCTTTTACTTATGGTCACAAGCTATCCCTATAAAAACTTATCAATTACTTCAACGTTGAGTACCTTCAGGAGAATCGAAAGTGCGAGCCATTTTCTCCCTATTCCTTTTGCTGTTGATTTTTTTTTTTTTTTTTTTTTTTTTTTTAATATTCTTGTGCAACAGAACCCAAGTGCAGAAGACTAAAAGAAGATTTCCAAGATATTATAACTCAGGAACTTATAAACAAGCATTTGAAGAAGGTGAGGCAGCTTACTCCATTGTCAACCACCCTCCATTTCTTTTAGACTTATAGGATGGGATATTTTTGATAAGCCAGTGATCTATTGTTGACCAATTTTGACATTTTGTAGTTGGAAATAGGGCTTGGTCTATGATTTTAAACTGCAAGCAATATAAACAATTCTACATACTCAAAATTGATAAGTGCAAACTATCAAAAATCAGTTTTTGCATTAATAAGAGTTGTACATATGTTGTAGTTGATTGTGCATCAATAAATTAGAGAATTATTGGAGTAGGATTGGAAGATGGAGGATGTGTGATATTCTTTGAAAGATGAACAAAAACAAGGCAGAATGGTGGAAAAAATCCAACTTGAACATGGTGGATTACTTACAATAGGATGTTTGAATTTTTTACATCCATAAATTGTAAAAAATTAGATAAAGTTTGATAGCATAATTAGGTGCCACACATCATAGTTTTACAATAGTTGGATTCTTGGTTCTATAACCTACGAGCAATCAAAATTAGATTGGTTTATATGTTGGAAATGGATTGAAGAGAATCTTCAGCTAAAGCATTTATTTAAATTCCATTTATGAGCCAAATTATTTGAAAATACTTAGAATCCTCCTAATTTCTATTTTTCTATATAGAGGTATTTATTTTGATTTTTATACCTATTAATTATATATTATAATTCTTAAATTATATGAAATAGGTTATCTATCTTAGATAAACTAGGCTCAAGTGAGGTGGTACAACTTTGAAAGTCTCTTTAGGAATCATGTCAAAAACACCAAGTCCATCTTGGTAGAAATTCATTTATTTATTTTATTTTAATGTATAATTTTTTAAAATATGTAATGAACTCATAGTACTAAAACAATACAATAGTATTATAAACATTTTTGTTTCTCAAACAAACATGCTTAATCTCTCTTCTTTCTATTTGAAGTATCAATGTAAGCTTTATTACAAGGATTTTTTTTTTGGATGTGCCATGCTATTTTACAACAATTCCAAAATTGTTCTACTTAGATTCATTGTATTATGATTTAAATATTGATTTTTATTGTAAGAATAATTATTCACCAACTACATTCATAAAGTGTTAGAAATATAGTATCATTTATTATCAAATTCATATCCATCTATTAGATGAAGTCTATAAATAAATACATGTCAAACTATTGTATTGAAATCCTATACTCTTGAATCTCAATCTATTTATTTATACGTATTGCATCTAGAGTGGTAATAAGTTAAATATTTTATTATTTCATGTTTCTTCAATCGTTCCTTTGATTCATCTTATTATTTCTATTTGATATCAAAGTAGATATTTTTGCCTTGTGTATGTATTTATTTTATTTTATTTTATTTTTTTAAGCATTATTGTTTTATTAATTTATTTTTTTACTTCTTTGTTATTAAAAAAAATTGACTTATTTCTTTGTTCATCAAAGTTTTTCTTTTATAATACAATAGCATCTATAGACACTATCTTTGTTTCTCATTTCTATCCAAATTCTCTTCCTACTTATGATAAGCTCTTATATAAAAGGTTGTTTTTTTTTTTTTTTTTTTTTTTTTTTTTAAACCAAATTTCCATCTTTTTTTTTTCTTCCCTTCAAGGCTTTTACCTCTATTACTTTTTGAACATTTTGTATTGCATCTTTATATCTACAAAACAACACAAAATGATTATTTATAAGAGTACAAATTCAAATGAAACTATGTTGAAAGGATCCAAAAACTACAAACATTAGACCATAACAAAACAAAGTATTTTTGAAAAAAAAAAATCTATGAGATTTTACTGAATCTAAACACAACTTTTTTACAAATAATAATAATAAAGAAAAGGATGTAGGAGCAAAAGACTTCACTTCTATTTTAGAAGAATTTGGTGTTGATTACAAAGAAAAGACATGAACCAAGGTTTTTTTACAACTTTTCATTATTCTAAATCTATACAATATCATCTTCAATATTCAAGATTCCAAAATTACTTGGAATCACTTCAAAACATGTTTTTAACCAACACTATTTTTGTTACCATGGTTATACTAAATCAATAAGATCACTTATAAATGAGTAAACAATAAGATATTACTTCTATTATGTAATATATTAATGATATTATTAGTGATCTAAAAGCTATAAACTTAATGCAACCTCTAGTAGTCATAGTTCATAAAATACTAAATTTTTTATCAAAATATTTTGAAAAACTTGTGATTCACTTATAAAATAAAATAGTCTTACTTTCTTTAGAAGACATGGAATTATTTGAATATGAAAGAAATCTTACTTAGTAAATCTCAAGAACTTGTTAATAAAGCTTTTATAGTACAAATTTGAAATCTCTATCATAATAAACACCAATAAGGTGTCAAGGACATGAACTAAAAGATGATGCATAAACCAATGAAATCTATATCAGAGAAAAAGTCACAAAATAGAAATAAAGAAGTACATATATTAAAAAGAAACTAGAATGGCTTATTGCCAAAAGAGAAGAAAACTTGAGACTCTTGAAACTAGATTAGAAGCAAGAAAGAAGTTGACAACAGTGAAGAGGGCTTCATTCTTGTCTCTATATATACTATCTAACTAAGGACTACGTGGCAATGTTCTATAGGACCTTCAATATGTGTTGACTTTGTAAGATACATGCCTTGACTTATAAGGCAAGTTTTTCTATAAATTTGCCACATAGTTAACTTGTTCTTTAAGCTACCAATATGTATGGTACATGATTAATTTATTGACCAAGTTTCTAACCTAAAAGTCAACAATGGACATCTATAAAGTCAAAGCAATGTCTAAAATTCTAGGAAGCTTTCTTAAAAGTTATTATAGAATTAACTTATTTTTACCTATTTTTATCTACTTCTACCTATTTATATAGATAATTATTGGCTTACATGCATATGTCTGTGACATTATCTCTCTTTCTAGGAACAAATTCTATGAGAAGCAGTCATCATATGTTGAAAAAATCTATGATGCAATGAATTATATTTGCCACATACTTAGATCTTTATTCTCTTCAAAGATGGTTGATAGGGCCTTTCAACCATCGATAGTGTCACATATCAAGGCAGGAAGACCACCTTATTATTTGGTCATTGTTGATGCTTTTATAACTCCCTTCAAATAAAATATTTAAAATACCATCAAGAGTTGTTCCTACCTCTAATAAAATTACCATTTATTGGGAGTCTCTTCCAAAATCATGATACCAAATGTGTTGTATCTGACCATCTATTTGAAGAAAAATATGTCGTTCTTGAGGATCTTCATCTTGATCATGTCATCTTGAAAGTTGTGACAATCGTAATGTCTTCTTCAACAAGTCAACAAATGAAGGCTCTTCAGTCAAATTTGCTAGTTATTGGTTTTCCATCTCTTCAATGTCACAAATATAAAGAAGCTACAAATAAGGATTAAAAATAGAATGTTATTTTATATAAATCTTATTTCTTTTATAAGAAAGGTCTTCATCTTAATTTTGATGGATGTCGTTGATAAAAAGCCTCCACTTTCTTTGTTGCATTTGTAAGATTCTTTGTTGGCTTCCATGTGTGTTCACTAATATTGTATCCATGCCAATGAATAAAATATTTCAACTTATTTTGGCATTGCCTTGAGTCTAAGACTTCTTTCACTTTAAATTCTTCATTATTGTCTACTTCTATAGGAGGAAGTGGTACTTGTCTTCTTCTTGATATGTCCACTATATTGTATGGTTCAAGAAGAGATACATGGAATATTAGATAGATTTTCATTAACTCTAGTAGATATAAATGATATACAACTGGATTAATTTGTACAGAAATAAGAAATAGTCCAAGCCATGATAGTCTAACTTATCACAAGGATGAGTAGTCCTGATATTGTGACAAAGTAACTATACCTTGTCATCCATGTCGAATGGTAGTTGTTCCTTTTGATAGACATCTATTTTGATCTTTTGTTGATTTTGAGCTTTTTTTAACTGTGCCTTTATTGTTGCATGTAGCTTTGATAAATAATTTTTTAAATCTTCCATCGTAGGATTATCAGCTTTTAAAAAGTCAAAAGTATCCAGTTGTGGATGATAACCATGATTGGCAAAGAAAAGTGGTTCTTTTATAGAAGAATATATTATGTTATTATAAGCAAACTCTACCAATGGCAAAAGAGTTGTCCAATCATCTTGTTGGTAGTTGATGATATATCTTAAATAATATTCCAAAACTTGATTAATACACTCCATTTTTCCATTAGTTTGAAGTTAAAATACCAAAGATAATTTTATA